CCCGCCCCCCCCCCCCCCCCCCCCCCCCGGCGCATTCATACACACACGCCCCTTCCTACCCACAGACTTACTGGCTGGATGCTGCTTTCCAAGCTGCTCACCTGCATTGCTCGCCACATGCATGGCAGCTGCGCGTAGGCACACGGCATTTATTGGTGACATTATCAACTACACTGGCCAAAAAAAGCCAGTGGCCAATAATGTTACTTTTCCTCTTATTGGTGCTGATCTGATATGCCACCAGTATATTGGTGTACCTCTACTAACAATGCTAATATTGCATTGCATCTGTTGCATCCTTACAAGGTTCTCACTGCACCCCCAAGTGCTGCAGCGCCCTAGTTGAGATGTGTTCATCTAGTACATTGATGCTCTAGTTTTTGTCCCTGTGGGCTGGATGAATGGCATGGTGCCAGTCCATGGGCTAGATTGGGCCCTGAGCACCAGGATCTGGCCCTTCACTGCTTCCACCCATCCTGGCTAGCTGGAGTTTGGCCTTGCACTGCCTCTGTGGGCCCTGTGCACCCAGTATAGTGCATAGGACTAAGTTATACAGACCACAGGGCTCCCCATACTCAGCAGAGGAACTACAATTACTGCCACCTCTTCCCCACTGCCAAATTTCTGGACCTGTGGGGATCTGGCCCACAGGCCAGGGATTGAGCATCCTGGCCTAGTAAGACCTAACTCTGTGTTGGTGAAATTCAGCTCCAAAATGCAGTTCAAATCTAGAAAAAAGAGGAGCTCCTCCTGTATCCTAAGTATGGTAAAGGGTTGAAATTCTCGAATAAACTATGGTCATGGGAAAGCATTAAATCTGCCTTTAAATCTCCTGAATGACTACCAAAAGCAAAAAAAAATGTTTAAAAAAAATGTATCATGACTTTGTAATAGGCAGTGCTATCATAATGTGACTCCTACAACTCAATTTTGTGCTGTTGAAATGACAGGAAGGAGTCAACACCTACTAACCCACCTATTGACAAGATAACCAGCACTTGCCATGCAAATCATTTTTTCCTTGAGCAAAGTGGGAATAGAATTGTAAAGAAGGTGGGTGGGAAGCACCAAGTATAACTACTGCCTTATGAGAACAATAATGGAAGCTCTGTATTGCCCCTAATTTGCACTGACTGGAAGACTCTGTAAATTACTGAAGCTTTTGTTAAAATACCATGAAAAGGTAATTCATTGATGTGGTCTGACTACTTGTTTAGATAATTGACTTTATTTGGCCCTAGCTGGAGTTTGGCCTTGCACTGCCTCTGTGGGCCCTGTGCACCCAGTATAGTACTGATTTCTTTTTTTTAATTGAAAATTTAGTGTGGAGAGAAGAATGCAGCTCTTTGCTATTAAATCATTGATGTGAGAAACTGTAGACGTGCATATAAGTGACTTTTTTGACAAAGGCAGACAAGGTTCTTTGGGTAAATCCGATAGCTTTTAAAAGCATTGGTAACAACTTGCTCTGAAGGGGGTTGACTGGCCTTGTAAGTGTTCTTAGGTTTGTTGAAGAGAAATGTATTTGCTTTAAGTGATGGGAGGTCCTGCCTTTTTAGAACTGCTGCTGGTAGTGGCAAAGTTAATGCAGCTGACAAAAGTTTCCCAGCACGCACCAAGGAGTGAAGACCTCCCTGCCGATCCTCATAAACTGAATGCCAGTGTCCCAGAGACATGGGAAAAAGAAACGGAAATTGGATTCAGGACAATGTTTCCTTATTCCCCTTGGATATCCCTGAATTTAGAAGGTATAATCCTTTAGAGGGATGCTGTCATCTGATTTTAGTTTTCACACTGCACATTAGGAATTTGGGGACACTTCAGCATCCCCTAGCATTTGGAGACCAAATGCTGCATAAGAGCCAGAAGGCGATACTGACTAGTCCAGTCTTATCAGTAATTGTCTCAAACTTGGTTACATAGACAAAATTAAATGCATGTTCATTTTCAGACCTCTAAGGTGTTAGTTGCTGAAGGAATATTAACTATTCTGTATTCCTTTGTGTTGAGGGATGGAAGCTCTAAAATGGCAACCACTTGGTTCCAAAGAAATTAGTTTAATTCCTTTGTTCTTACAAATTCATGCTACTTTTAGCCTTTTACCTCTAGGCTCTTTTTAAAAATGTCATTATAACCCCTGGTAACAAATAGAAAGTCTCCTTGATCGAAAAGGAACTGTAATTTCAAAGACACTTCATTGCATGTTCTCTGCAGCCTCTAGGGTTGTTGATTCAGTTACCAAGCATGATGACAGTCATAAGTGATCAAAAACATTGGTTTAGAGTCCACAGGTTTAATATAGGTAATGCTTTGGAATATAAATTGCCAAAAAAAAACCCTTATTGCTTTAAACTATTTGGCACAATGTTTCTCAGCCTTTTCAGACTAAAGTACTCAAAAGCTAACATTTTCTGAGTTTTGCTTTTTTGTTATTGGGGTTTGGTTTTTTTGACAATAGAAAAATAGTAAAGCAACTCTTTTCTTACAAAGGACGAAGTCCACAACAGGTCAGAAAGTTTTTGATGTTATGGATTTCTGTTTAAAATCTCTGGTTAATCTTATGAATTGTGTAGGTCTTTGCATGACTAATACTGCATGACATCCTTAAAAGGTTCATGTAGGGCCCTCGTTGAGAATCACTAATTTAGCATGAAAAGGACCCCAAGATTCAAGTGGTGAGGGAGCTTCAAAGGGCAGTAATGTAGCAACGGGATTAAGTGAGTATTCGCTCATTATAGAGTGTGTATGTGCTTTTTCCTCGGCCTCTTGAAGGCTCAGATCAAGTATATCTGAAAAGCAAGGAGCTCTTTTATACCCCTCCTGACGCTACTGGCCTGGGAGTAAAAACTTTTAAATGTGAAAGTAGGTTTTCTGAAGACAAATACGCTTCTCAGTCCCTTGCATTGAGTAAAATGAAAGTAGCTGAAATGAAATGACCTTAATGTGCATGCACTTTACATATGTGTGTTCTCCCACAGACCTGAAACTCAGCACCGAGGTCCTGCTGCTCATTCAGAGAATGATCTCCCTGAACAAGAGGAGGAAATTCTGGGATCAGACGATGATGAACAGGAGGATCCAAATGATTACTGTAAAGGTGAGGGCTTTGCCTTGTGTTAAAAATAACACTAAACAGATTTTTAGCTTTTCCCTGCCTGTTATCCTTCCTGCTCCCTTACAAAGCCTTCAGCCTTTATGCTCTGGGCTTTAAAGCTATGGAGTGTCTAACCTGAAATGTTTTCATGTCTAAGATACAAAGGAGAAAATGTAGTATATGTTTGCCTGGTGTATGAAGAGATTTTGTTAAAATGAGAATGGGGAGAACCTATTATCTGTTTACCTGGATTGAGGCGTTATTTGTTTGTGGACTTTGTTTTAAGTCATGCAGTCTGCTTTTCTTTACTTGAGACAAGGTCTGCTCTGTGTATAAAACAGAGCATGATCAAGCTGATACTTCCCTTTAAGACAGTGGTTCTCAGCCTTTTAAGACTCAAGGCATCCCTTTGAAAATGCCAGTTCTTAGCTGTCACTTATTTTTCTGTTGCTGAAGAACAATAGAGCATTTTTTCTGTTGTGAAGAGCTGGGGCCCCAGCAGATCCAAGTATTTTTGACACTTTGGGCTCCTACTTGAGATCTCTGGGTTTGTCTTGTGAATCATAAAGGTATATACCATGAGATCATTTTAAGGATTTCATCGAACCCAGGTTGAGAATCAGCGTTTTAAGATGTGGAGATTTGGAGTCCTTCTCCATTTCAGTATTAATTTGCATACTTTACAGTTTGATCAGTGGGGCACTAATTTGACAGACTTGCCAACTTCTTTCCTCTTCTGGTAGAGAATTGTCTCAGTTTTCCCTAGAAATTTCCTCAGCTTTATCAGCTGGAGGTAGGGGGAAAGGAATAATCTAGTTTCTAGGACAGATACCTGCTTATAGCGGCTTTTTTAGAGTTGTATTAAGATGTTAAAGCCATGCATCTACAGTAGTCTTTTCCCCCTTCTGTTGAAGGTGATTTTGAAGTCTCTACCTATCAAGGACTCCCAAGTGCTTTTTGTTTTTAAAATAATTGTTTAATCATATCAGGAAGTACTTGTCTTTTGTCTGTACTACAGAATGTAAGATGCTACTAACTTTTGAAGAGACAGGCTTTCTGACATTTGAAGAGAACATGAGTGTTTAACTGTCTCTGCATTTCAGTCGTATTTGGCACCTACTTCCCACTTTTGCTTTTGAAAAGCTCCCTGCCTTAGACTCAGAAACCTTTTAACATATCTGTAACACCATGCTTTTTCACACAGTTAGTACCAGTAGTTCATGTAATTTCACATAACTGTTAACTTGTTTTTTCTGTAAGCCATTCTAGCTACTGTGCTACTTCCTGCCTTGGTAAAGTGGTCACGTAGACCATGGCTGTCAAACATGGCTTGTGTACTGAATCTGACCCGTGATATCGTGTGATCGCATCTGCAGGGCTCCTGGAGGGGGGCCAGGAGTTTGGAGGGTGTGCAGGGGAAAAATTCAGGGTATGGAGCCCCAATGGATATGTATGTTGGTACCGGGCAGGCAAGTGACAGCTATGTTGGTCTGGATTCAATCCAGGTGGGCCCAAACCAATTTGATGTGGCATTTCGGATCAGGTAGAGTAATTTGTAGACTTCACAGCATAAATGTTGTGGATGTGATTCACTGTAAGTGCTTGAAACAGGATGCCTAAACTGCATGGATTGTCCTGGGTTAGTCACAGTGGTGTAAAATACAGTGGCAAACTTGGCAACAGTATGTACAGGAAACTGCCATGCATGTGCTCCTGTAGTTCATGCTATCAGCATCAAAAACAGGAGGAATAGAGTCCCTGCCTGAGGCTTGCCAAGTAAATAAAGGTAGAAACCGTTCCATGTTTTTAAGTTGGATTTATTTGTAATAGTCCATTTAAAATTTAAAGGTAGTCTGTTCAGTTTGGCTTTTTTTTAAGGAATGCCAAGATTGCAGAATCAAGCACTCAGAACTTACAAAAAGAAATAAAGTTGCCCTATGTTACCGGGACTTCTCCAGTCAGCTTATGGAGGCGGTTAGGTCCAGGGATGTTATTGTCATGGGTGACCTAAACTACCCAGACGTTTTCTGGGAGGAGCAGACAGCCAGGTCTGACTGCTCGCATAGGTTCCTGGCTGTATTATAGGACCTTCACCTTATCCAGGAAGTGCACAGCCCCACTAGAGGTAATGCCTTGCTGGACCCGATCCTGGCCACAGGGGATGACCTGGTGAGGGGATTGCAGGTCCTTGACCACCTGGGCAATAACAGTCATCACCTGCTGGAATTCACTGTCAGCAAGACTAAAACCCTTGACTTCAGAAGGGCCAACTTCAGAGATTAGTGGGGGAGGCACTGAGGGCCCAGAAGGTAGAGGAGATGGGAATCTATGAGGGATGGTCGTACCTTGAGGGGACGATCCTTCAGGCCCAAAGGGTAACAGTCCCTGAGAGAAGCAAGTAAGAGTGCTCAGAAACCCCCTTGGCTCAGCAAGGGCATTCAGGAATGCCTGAGGACTAAAAGGGGTGGCATACAGCCAGTGGAAGGGAAGAGCTATCACCAAGGAGGAGTACTCGTCCTCTGCCTGGGAGTGTAGGAGGGCTATTAGGAAGGCCCAGGATTCAGGACAACAAAAAGTCCTTTTTCAAGTACATTGGGAGTAAGAAGAGGGCACCAGGCAATGTAGGGCCCCTGCAAGACTCAAAGGGTAATCTTGTGGCTATGCCAGATGAGAGAGCTGATATTTTTAACGGTTTCTTTGCCTCTGTTTTCTTGAACAGGGACCGGGACATCCCTCCTACCAGAGGTAGGGATAATCTCGGGGATAGCTCTGGCAGGCCTTCGGTCAGTGCAGATGTAGTTAGGTATCTTCTGGAAGGGCTGGACATTTTTTAAATCTGCAGGTCCAGATTCCCTCCACCCAAGGGTGTTGAGGGAGCTGGCAGGAGTCATCACAGAGCCCTTGGCCCAGCTGAATGAGCATTCATGGTCATCTGGCCAGGTGCCAAAGGATTAGAAACTAGCTAATGTCCCAATTTTCAAGAAGGGGAGGAAGGAGGACCCAAATAACTGTAGGCCCATAAGCCTCACCTTGGTGCTCAGGAAGATCTTGGAGAGAATCATCCAGGAGCACATCTGTGGAGGGCCAGCTGGGGAGATCATGTTCAGGGGCAATCAGCATGGGTTCATCAAAGGCAGGTCCTGCCTGATCAACCTGATTGCCTTTTATGACCAAGTAACTAAATCCTTGGATGATGGTGTCACCATGGATGTAGGCTTTCTAGACTTTAAGAAGGCCTTTGACACTGTCTCTCACCCCATTCTCATCAATAAATTAGGTGACAGTTAGAGTGGCCAGAATCTGGAACCAGCTTACCAGGGAGGTGGTCCTTGCCCCCACCTTGGGCAAATTCAAGAGGAGGTTGGATGATCACCTGTCTGGGGTCTTGTTGAACCCAGGATTCTTTCCTGCCTGTGCTGGAGGTCAGGCTAGATGACCTGATCCAGGTCCCTCCTGGCCCAAGCTACTATGAAACTATGTAACTTTAATTTAGCCCTCTTGTGCATATGACGTATGATCCAGGGATCCTGGTTTTCACCGATAAAATAAATAAATACGAGATAAAAATGGAAATTCTCTGATTAAAACCCCAAAATCTGTGATTAGAATGAAAGGCCGCTAATATAACACAATTATTTTTTTGTTAATATTCAGTTTTAAAACAATTTGGAAGCCTACCAGTGCCTCAATCACTATAACAAAATAAATTCTAAATACCTCTATATTTTGGCATTTGATTTTGGCTTTTTCATCATGGAAAATCAGAGCAACTGCTGACATGACTCTGTACACCCCAGGGAATTATGCACAGGAAAACTCAAAATTATGCAAAATTTAATTACATTTTTTTTGCAAATTAAACTAAATATAACACTGTTTGAACCTTCTTTAGAATTATATGCAGGTACTTTGTATCTTTGGGAGGTGGGTGTGAGCAGATTTGTGAAGGTGGGGGGGGTAGTGAA